TAAGTGCCCTGCCTCTTTTGACATAAAATGTCTGATCCCATGAACTGTTTTTCATGAACTGATTGCTTTAAAAGTCTCAGAATTTAGATACTGAGGATTACTTATGAAAATGCGGTTAACACCTTGATAAATTCTCTGGTATAGTCTGTATTGTTTATTCAGCATTACCTTTCAACTTACGCACTGCAATGCTTTACTGCTTCGGCAAAGTTCAATTTTTCCTTATTTTCCGCCTAACTTTCGCTGCACTGTATTCATTCAAGGGTATTCTTTTCAGAAATTCAAAGTGCGTATAGAAGCAACACCGTTCCGTAAACATATGGTATTCCTTGGTGGAGCCGTGCTTGCAAACATAATGCGGGATAGGGATCAAGTAAGTGCTTTTCATTGGTTGTTTAGCATTTGGGCAACCATTTTTATATTGGACGTCTAATTTTATAAAAAAAAGTGGAGCAATTCTGTAAATTGTATTGCTTCGCTATATTAATATGTAAATGCAACTAGCTTCGAAATAAATTCGAATTAGCATCGGGTGACTATGAATTGCTTGTCTGAGAAGTTCTGCGACACTCCGACCAAGTTTCTCTAGGAAAAAATCAGAACCCTTTTCAATTGCTTTGGTTGTGGTTACAATACAAATCTCACTGTTCAATCAGAAATCTTGTACGAAAGACATCGGGTTTCCTGGAGAATCCAGGGTCATATGCAGTGATTGCCATCGAAAAGGTAGATTCTCCGAGTCATGTATGGTTTCCTATCGATGCATGGCTGACAATTTCGTATAGAATCGTTTTGTATGATTGAAACGTGTACACAATATGCGTGTCCGAAGCGCGAATCACTGCGTAGAGGCCAGTGGATCATTGATGCCCTAATTTCATACAGAATCACATGCAGGTGCGGTGACACCTTTTCGCATGTGTGTCACTAGTGGGTGGACACATGTGAAAGCTGTCACTGCAGGGTACGATTGTGTTGCGAAGTGATGCTTCTTTTGTGGCGGATATTCTTGCACGAAATCACATGCGGCAGCGTATTGCGTAGTATGTAAAGACCACATCGACCACACGTGCGTGGTGATTTTCTCAGTAAACTTGAGAGTAATTGAGGATGTTGAAGTGCTGGTGAATCCACAGTAAGAAGTCCTAAGAGACTGATGTATTCCCATTTCACAATTCCGCAGTGACCTTTTTTCCTTTCTGTTAATCTTCACACCACTGATCTCACAAAAATGTTGTTTTTCGCTGAGGCAGCGAATTTCGATCAACTAATCCATTGACAACCGTGCTCAGTTATGGACAAAACTTTTTGTTTCGGGAGTGAATCTCGATATCGTGCTCCTCGGTCAGGTTTGATCACCATTTAATGGCCAAGGGTTATTTAATTTCAACCCAGTTTTTGAAATTTTCTTTACCATAAGCACTCAGCGCAAAAAAAGTTAGGCGCTGTTCAACCACCCACCTAGATGGATAGCAGCCCGGAAAGCAATAAAGTGCGTTCAAGTCTCGACGGGTGAAGTATCTTGTTTATAACTCTGCACCCTAGCGATAACTTCGCATCGCACATTGCAGCGAAAACCAGCAATTAATAAACAAGAACTAGCTGTCCGCGATCGCGGTCTTAAAACTTACTCGCTCAGGTGTCTAATTTTTTAAACTTGTGCAGTGGTGATCGATAAAAGTTGGTCTTTTCTCGGTGTTTCACCTTCTCTCTCAAACAAAGTAAAGGAATTCATTCTAGGACTTCTGGATCTCCAAAGCAGAGTATGATGAAGGTGGTCTTCCACGATGCTTATCGAAATTAAACGTGAAATAGGAGCTTGAGAAGTCATTGTCAGTCAAAAGGTTGTTGTTTTTTCTAAATCTGAAATCATCATCACACACACATTGCCAGTTCCTGTGCTGCATGTTCAGTTAGTTTATATCACATATAAGGTTCTAATACGAATATTTAATTTTTTATGACGTTGATAATTTAAGCGTTTTTGGATGTGATATGTTTATTTTTATTATAGTGCTCTTCTGTTAATATGCGCCCTTTGTATTGTTATTGATCACTTTTTTGCTCTACTGCTCACTCCGAAGCTCTTATGATGAACTCGGTCGACACTCTCGCGTGTACATTGTTAACTGATGTGTGTGTCTGTTTGTCTGACTGTCCCTTTCATGTGTTGGTTCATGTCGCCCACTCCGTTGTGTTCCGAATGAACAGGAGAAGATGCGCGCGGTTGCGGTGCAGCACCGTACTCTAGCAGTCAATACTCTTTTCTTAAATTGTCTGGTTGGGCGGCGTGAACCGTTTGTTTTTTCTTCTGTGGTAGTTCTTACCAAGGCTTTTTCATTTCCATAGTCATTTTATTCCTCATATTTATTTTTCCTTTTGAATTGTCTTCGTCGAAAGATTTAAATTATATCTGCAATCTGTGAATGACACTTGTACATCGACACGATGCTATTCGCAAAACAGACGGAAGCGTCTTTTGAAAGGTTCCCACGCACGCGCTATTGGCCCCACCCACCTTGTACCGCCGGTGTTTGCTTTTTAGTGCATGTCGCCTGTGACACCATTTTCTTCCTGTGGAAGAGTTTCTTGTGTTCCGATTGCGTCTATCGGGCATGTACGAGAAGTGTTTTTCCTCCAGTGGTCACAGTGATCGCATGAGTGATTGTTTTGACATTTGCTCTGGACCACAGGGATATTGCTTCTGCTCCCAATTTCCTACTCTGCTGCTCTCATGACCTTGAAGTCGAGGACACATTTTCTCATTTCTTTATCTAATTTTTCATTTTGTTTGGTTAGATTTGGCCGTGGCTTGATAACGTTGTTGTTGCCATCAAATATTTTTACTAACCATAAGAAAGACGAGGTCTAGTGCCTGATAATAAGCTGCACTTTGCTTATTGCCTCCTCTGTGAGTTTTGAGATGGTCATTGTATTTTTCTGGATGGTTTTGGTTCTGCTATTTTGTTTTCGTTCCCAGACTCGTCTTTTCGAAAATTCCGATGGGGTGACAAATCTCGTCGTCGTTTGAAGCCGAGATAGCTGGAATCCCCCTGGTGCGTGGAATATCCGATGTAGGGAATAGGAGTGGGGCAAGCACTTCAAATGACATCGATTTCGTACTATTTTTGCTTAATTTCAGTTCTGATTCAACTCTTTTTCTGACGCTCGACAAAGGTTCTCCTCGTAGTCATTTTGATCCCTTGGACATTTTTTTCGTTGTGTTGACGAACGCGTGGCGCATTCTAGTGGTTGTTGAACAACGCCGAAACTTTTGCATCTCGTAATAACTTCGTATAATTTTTTTCTCACAAAAGTCAAAAGAAGGCTCACCACTTACCTCCTTTATTCTTGACGAATATTTTTTTCTTCCACTATTTTTTTTCACTTTGCAGTTATCGATGCTAAAGTGTCACCAAGCAAAACTAATCATTTTTAATGAGAATTCACATCTATTCAGTGGGATCAAGTCTGCAGTAATTTTTTTGCAGTGGTACGCATCCCATTCATTCAGTCTTGTACCTATATTATTCATGTTCTTCGAGTAATGGGGCACCAATCAGGATCAAGTTCACTATGTGGTTCAATTGTGCTCAGTCGTCTTTTTTAAAGCGTTCTTCAGGTCTTTAGACAAAGGCACCTGTAGATGTTTGCACTGAAAATGTTCTTGGTTTCTAAAGGCGTCGTTCACGATTAGAAAGCAGCCCATTAGAATTGAGGTAGGGGTGATTAGTGGCGTCGGGATGGCGAAAAAACCATGAGAAAAGGCGAAACCCGATCTTCTTTGCCCGTTGAACTCCGCATTGATGCGACTCTCATCAGTGCTGCTCTCTTCTACGTTAGCGCTCTCTCTTTAAACAACTAAATACGTGCGGCGAGTGGTTAGTTAGTCAATGGGCGTTCCGCGCCGAGCGCGCAGGGAGGGCAATGCTAGGTCACTGGAGCATACCCTTTCGGGTAATTGCCTCCGGCCCGCACCTTTAGGGGGTCCACCTGTCCTTCCACTAGGTGAAGATTCTACGATAAGGTTTCCCCTCTTCGATCTTCGACCTTATCGTAGAATCTTCCCTTAGCAAGAAAGTGTTGGAAGCATTGTCGCTCATACATGGATTCGATAGTAGCTCTACAATTTCAGTGTTTGGATCTTTGTTATGAAGTAAAAAATCAATATGTAGTCTTTGAGGAGCTATGTGAATGGCGAGCTGGACGTCAATCGCCACTTTTCATTTGCCGTTATGAACGTGGGGCATCTTCACGAGAATCTCATTAACCCTCAGTCTCACCCACAGATTGGAGCGTCCTTCTGTCGGCTGCGGGATCCACTATTTCTATCTCTTTTGACATCTTTTGTTTTTGACCAGATTTCAGTAAGCCAATCCAGCTTTTGTTTCTTAACTTGGAAGATAAAACTGTAGACTAAGACTTGGTGTAAGTGGATTCGGGTATGAAAGGCTTGATAATAACCTACGCTGGAAGGTCAGTTGTTTTCTGATCTCCATTGCTGTCGTGAGTTCTCTTGAGTTTAGAGCAACCCAGAAGAATCATCGTAATGGGTTCGCCCTCTGAGTAAAATATATATAATGTAAGAATATCAACCACTTTGAGGAGTTGGTTAGCACTGTGGCCATAGGGGCCTCATTAGAGGTACACGGTTTCAAGACCATTTTATATCGTCAGTGACTTTCATCGTCTGGGAACTATCACAACGGGCGAACTCGGGCCCGTGCAGTTTTCAGTGGCCTGCCAAGTGGGGAATTTCAAGGATAAAATGAAGGGTATTTTGTAAACTGGTTTTCGTATCAAATCTGGTCTGGATAACTGTCGTTGGTTTTGACAGAAGCGGATTGGGAGCGTTGTGAAGAGCTACAAGAATTATGGGCTTCCTGCGTAGATTCTTCACCCTCATTTTTAATGTTCCCTTGGGAACGCGTAATCTTCTCGTCTTGAAATGACAGCGCTTGGAATAGAAAGGGCTGTCAATCCGTTTTTTGTGATTCTTATTTTCTTCAGAATTTCTGCTTCGGGACATTCCTCTGGTAGCTGTCATCTGACAATTGGCAGATTCTCATTCCTGTTGAGATCTTTTATTGCTTTCTTCTACTCCCACTATGAGTGTCCTTTGGATTCGGTTTACGATTCAGTTGTAAGTTCAAATCGGTGGTAGTTCCATTACAAGGAGGTTTGTACCGTGCCTCACCAGTGGGCTACACTCTATCCAGAAATGGTTGATATCAAGCTTCAGCGGTGCAACCTAATGCAACCTCCTGTCCCATAGCAGCTTCAATGGGCTAGACGCGTTTAATTAAGTGGAGCTTAATTGAAGTCATCACTGAAAGGTTTTTCTCAACATGTGTATGGAGAAGAAGCGTTTGTGAATTAACTGATTTCCGGCAGCGTCTTGAAAAACCAGCTTTATTCACTCGATCCTTCCTAGTTCACTCACACATCGTGGCAAATAAATCGATTGTGAATGTGGTGTTAGGGCTAAAATTGCAATGCGGAGGGAGGGTATCGTTGTTTGTTCGACTTCCGTCTAAGGGCACACGCGAAAAGAAATCGAGTAGCTGCTTCTTTATTTTCCCCCTTCAATGATTCCAACTGTCTTGGCTTCTTGGTTTTTCCTTGCATATTGCCTGAAGCGATGTTATCATGAATGGCTTACGGAATGGTTGAGTTGTAATATGCTCGCCTGTCAGGCGGGCGCCCGGGTTGGTTTGCCGGCTCACTAGTTTGTGGTGCTCATTGGCCCTTTCCGCCGTATCTTTGTCTATTCTTGCTTCGCCTCACAGCGACTAATGTCACTGGCCCATACTGACTTTCTGACCATGAATGAGCGAGGATATTGGCGGGTCCCTTCATTACAAATGCTGATATGCTTGGAGGGCTGACAGTCTCAAGATCTTAAGGCTTCGGGAGCCTAAGTCCCACTTAGGCGTACTCGTCTTGCCTACGCGGCAGGCGGCATCTCGAGGTCTGACATGAGTGGCCAACCAACGCTGACTAGATGACATGTCTATTGCAAAAAATACGGTCCTCACCGTTTTATTTTGTGTTTTAGTAAAAATGAGTAGGCCGCGTTCATAGTTCGCGACTCCGGAGAGTAGGATAGTGCGCGACAATGAAAAAGATATGTATTGACGGGGAGATTAGGATAGTAGTAGATTAGGATAGTAGGAGAGTAGGATAGTGCGCTGACAAGATTAGATACGTATCGATTGAAATCGCCGGAGAGTAGTAGATTACGATATTACGATAGTAGGATAGTAGTAGAGTAGGAGAGTAGGATAGTGTAATTGGATAGTGCGCTGACAAGATCATTATGTATTGATCCTTGCTATTATTCGCTATGACGTCGCCGCAAGTCTCCTAATTCTCTTGGATTTGCTATGTATGCGTACGTATTCATCTTGTCAGCGCATCTGCCTACTACTAGTACCCTAATATGTATTCCGCTTACTATCGGCTAATCTCCTGAGACACGAACTATGAAACGCAGCCTAACACTATTTTAAGTAATCTTATGCATGTTAATGTACGTGTATAGTATAAGGTAGAGCCATAAGTAAGTGCCGACTTTTTCATGCCCGTGTCATCTTCCCAACGAGTGTGTTGTTCCCAGTAGAGCACTATGTGGCTACCTCAGTATCCTTTCATACTACAGCATTCGACTATGAGTGCTTATCCCCATGAAGAAGTAGCGCTATCTATTTTAACCCATGTTCGTCACGGCCTATTTTAAGAGCTTCATCTGGGCACTCAGGGTGAGACCAATCGGAATATTTCTGGAGCTGAAGGACAGACACAGTCAGAGAGGG